GCCCGAGCTGCCGGACGCGCGGCCGCCGCGCAGCACGTTGTTCCGCTGGTTGGCCGGCTTGACCGTGACGATGAGGTTGTGGCTGTTGGCGATCATCATGTCCGTCACCTGGTCCAGCGTCTTCCCCGCCACCTCGATGCCGTTCACCTCCAGCACCTCGTCGTCCACCGCCAGGAGCCCCGTGCTCTCGGCCAGGCCGCCGGGCACCATGCGCGAGATGAAGATGCCCGGCACCTTCTCCAGCCCCTGCGGCGCCACCCGCACGCTCGTGCCGTCGCGGATGTAGAAGCCCAGCGGCTTCTGGCAGCCGTGCCGGTACAGCCGCACGCGCCGGTGCGTCTCGGGCAGGATGTCCACGTCGATGATGGAGGACACCGGCCGGAAGTCGTGCGGGAGCCCGATGTGCAGGTGCGGGCGCCGGCGGGGCCCCTCCTCCCGCAACGCCAGCGCCTTCTTGCGCCGCGACAGCGAGCCGGTGGCCAGGCCGTGCTCGGCCTCCTCTGGAAGAGAAGACAGACGTCAGGACGGAGGTGCCGGCCAGGAAGCCGTCGGACGCGCTCGGACCGCGCCGTCTGCGGCCCACCTTCCGGCCGCCTCGCCCACACCTCGGGGCCCCGCGAAGTGGAGCTGACCGCCGGTTCACTGTGCCCCAGGTCCCCGCCCCGGGAAGGACAAACAGCCTGCGGACGGGCAGCCTTCCTGGCCCCGCTGCGCTGGCCCCGCTGGTCGCCAGGCCGGGCAAGTGCAGCCGCTCCCGACAGTTACCTTTCCGCAAACCTCCACCCCGACCCGCGGCAGCCAATGGGACGGTGGAAGGTGAGGGTAGTAAAAGGGCCCCGCAGTAAAAGAATGCACAATGGACGGAAGGGCGGGAGGCCCGTCGGGATTCCGGGAGGACGGCAGAGCGGGAGCAAGAGAGCTCTCCCAGCAGGACGACTGCGGGGACGGTCCGTCTGACGTCACCGCCCGTCTGACGTCACCGCCTGGGGACTCTGGAGTCTGCACCCAAGGTCGGCAACCTCCAGAGAGCAGCGGGACAGACGCAGAAAATCATTCTGGAAAATCCCATCAGCTGGCACCGCAGCGGCGGC